CGATGTGTTTGCATGGCATAAGCAGAGCGCTCGGCGCTGGCGTTCCCGAGCAGAGGGCTCGGTGTCGCCCCCTTTCTTCCCTTTGCTTCGTGTTTCCGTTTGGCTCAACAAGAGGGTCGTGGTGGTCCTTCTATGCTACCAGTTGGCTAAGCCGGAGCAAGAGCTCGTGCTCCTGTGTGGTCCATTCATGGCGTCCGAGAGGCTAGGTGTGGTCGTGCCGGTGTTCCCGAGCTGCTAGGAGTCGGTGAGGCCAGGCCTTGGGCTTGTGCGCGTGCGGTGCGTGTGCAGCGTGTCTAGGAGCAGGAATGCTCCGCCTCTGCGTTCCCCAGGTGCGGGAACGCGATGGCGTTCATGGCGTGTACGGCTAGCGCGGTGAGCGGCGAACGTCGTGGCTCACCGTAGGGCTCGTGGCGATAGGATGGTGGTGCGGTGGCGAGGCGAGGCCGTGATGAGGCGATGCGTTGCTGCGGCCGAGCAGCTACTACGTCAGTAGAGCCGATCGGGCGGCGCGCTCCTTGCTCGGCGAGGTCCGGTTCCGCAGCGGCTTCCTTCTCCTCCTTGCTTCTTCCTCCTCCCTCTCTCTTGGCTTGACGCGGTGTGGTGCTGTGCCACCAGCGGCGGCGGCTATTGGGCTGAGGGTTAGGGCTCGTTGGCGTTGGCTTTTATAGCCGAGCTCCAAGGGCTCCAATGGCGGACGGTGATCGGGCGGTGGTGATGCGTGCGGCGCATCCGACGGCCCGCGTCTTGATAGCGTGGAGGTGCGCGCAAGGGGAACAGGTCATGCGATGCGCGTGACCCCGGCCTTCGTCCGCTTCTCGTGGTCGGCTCCGGTCGCGGAAGAGGTTGGCGTGGGGAGGAAGATGATCCTATTCTTTGGGGTGGGTGACGCGTGGGGTCCGGTTTGTCGACTTGTCCTGATCTTGGTGACATGCGGTGCGCGTGACGGCCGACGGGCTGGGTCCGGCTTGTCGGTCATTGTGTGAAAGGGCAGGCGTGAGGCGAGGCATTTTGGGCTAAATTTGGGCGGTCGAGGTAATTTGGGCTCTTCTTTGCTCCCCTCCTTTTCCTTTTCTTTTTCTGTTTGTTTCTCTTTTCTTTCTTTTGCTTTGATTCACTTTTAGTTAGAGTTTAAACTTGAGCTTCGAGTTATGTAGTGGGTCTCACAAGGTGTTTCAATTGGTGGTCAAAATACATCCCATATATTAGGGTTTGTCATAATTATTAAGTAAGTTAGTGAAACATCACATAAGGCAAAAGAATCCAAATCACAAGTGGAATTTAAGGATGCATGCATGGTTCGTTTATTTTAGGAATTTAATTACACATGTGGCATAAAACCAAGCTATGCTTATGACTTTAACCTAGTTGGGTCACATATAATCCAAAACTAGGGTTTAGCTTCTACCTGTGTCACTCAACATCATATAGGGTTTAAACAAAATTTTTTTTGTAGTTGTGATTTTTGGTGTGTGGGTTTTTGGGTTGTTACAGCGGCTGCTGTTGGTGAAGCGTTCCTCCAACTTATGATTTGATTTGGCGAAGCGGTTCTCGATCTGGGTCTTCTGCTCGGCGAAAAGGCGGTTCATCTCGTCTAGCAGGAGCTTGGAGTCAGGATTCATGGCACCTCGACTACAAGCAAAATGGGTATAGTGTGAATGCGGCGGCGGCGGTGGTGGTGGTGGTGGGGATCGGTGATATAGTGCCGCTGACCGAATCGGATTGCTCGCGTGCTTGGGAATTACGGAGATCGAAGCGCGGGGGCGAATTGAACTCAATGACCCGAGGCGTTTGCAAGCAATCAACGAATCGGACAATTGAAGAAGAGTAAGCAGAGGAAAACGGAGGAATCGAAGGAAATCTAACACTAGATGTAAGCAGAGGAGTAGATAATACATATAGCAAGCAATCAACGAGAAGAAGAACAAGCAAGAATCTGGGAAGTTGAGTTCGTAGATGAAGAACAGAGGAGTGCTTGAGAGTTATAGAGTTCTATTTGTAATTGATTGATATCCTCCACTCTCTCTCTCATTACATATACTAGCCAAACACGGCACTCTCGCCAGCTGTTGGTCGATCACTTCCACTCCGGCCCATGGACTCATTATGTTGGGCCTGCGGATACTCTCTCCTCGATGCGGCCCATGCCCGACCTGATTGTTGTCGTAGAGATCGGTGTGGCCGACGTTGTCCTCGTTCTCTTCCAGGCTTGATGGGTGTAGAAGCATGGGACACTATGGCCATGTGGCGTTGTGCTTGCTTGCCTCTTCAAATGCGGCACGTCCGATCCACAACTACGCACCTGAATGACCGCGGCTAGCTACCGCTCGGCGCCCTACACACAACACCTATGAAAAGAAGGAAATAGGCCATGGTGACAGGAAGCTCGAGCTCGGTTCATACAGGAGGGCTAGGATGGGAGGCGTTGGGAGGTAGGGAAAGAGCCCTGATGGTTCCCACCTATATTTGTGCAAGGGGAGAGAAGACTAGAGAAAACAAGGGTGGAGGAAGAACAAAGAGCTAGCGGCAAAAGGCACATTTATTTCACCATTGTTCTTTCTCCTCCCGAGGCAAAAAATGATTATTTTATTGCCATGGTGTCTTCTAGAAAATTTGTCACAAACCAAAGTGTCCACCAGGCATCGACCAATTTGAATTTTTTCGATGTCTGCTGGCAATGCAATATCCCGGTAGCAAATTATGCTTTGATAATAATATCTGTTGACTCTAATATGTTTTATAAGAAATTATCCACTCCTGCCATTGTGAAAACAGCATACAGGAGCCCCCTAAACTTCCTTTAAAAATACCCACATCTACCATTATGAAGCATAATCTAAATTAATCTCTTAAATTTGCATCAAATTACCTTCCCTATCACTATGATAGATAATGCCTTAAATTTACATCTAAATTACTCACCTCTACCGTTATGAAACATAATCTAAAGTAACATCTAAATTTGTATAAAAATACTTGCCCTACCATTATGATAGGTAATCTAAGTAACTATTAAATTTGTAACTAAATTACCCACTTATACCATTATTAAGAACAAAGTAAAATGTCCTTTAAAATTACCAACAACAACTACTACTGCTACAAGAAAAAGTTTAAATGACCATAAATTATTCATATATGTGCTGCTAAATTACCCAATTCTATTACCATTAAGTAAAAAAGTGCATGTTGTGCCATCATGCATATCAAGTATACATACATTCATGAGCATACAAATTTATTTGTATGTTTTACCAATCATGGAAAATGTTCACTTAACAACGCACGTACCAATTCATTTAAAATTATATTAATTTCCATGAAAATAATTAATGTAAGTGGCTAATTTAGATAAATTTATGTATTTTGACTAGAACATTATGATATATCCATAATATAATTTTAACACTATTTTTCTATAAATAAATAGTACTACACATATAATGTTTTGATAGAGGAAATTCAACATCTCAAGCAACGGAGAAGGTTAGTATAGCCCAAAGATGGTCATGGTCTCCCTGGTGTTTAAAATTTCTTTGGAGTAAACTTGAATGTTACTATAATTAATCTAAATATCAATATCCTTTTGAGGTTCATTGGCCCTCCTAAATCTTACTCCAAGATCCACCTTCTATCTTGAGCAATGCAGTGCAGGCTTAAATGGCCATTTATATCATCATAGTAATCAACATGTAGTCTAGAACTTTAAGACCTTACATTTAATGAATACAAAAGGAGAGTTTTGAGTAATAGGCACAATAAGGAAAAGAGTTTCAACTTCACATATTGATAAAAAAAATTGCATAGCAACTAATAAGATTTAAATTTAAAAAAGTTAAAATAAAGAATTATGACATCACGAGACATAAGATGCAACAAGAACTATCGTAGCTTAAAATAAGATCTCAACTAAATGCATGCTGGATATATATGCATGGAGGTGCTATGCAAACGAAGGAAAAAATGTTTATATGGATGTAAAAAAGATACATAGTAATTGATAAGATTATGACAGGCGGATAGAGATTGTAGAGTACCAATATTGAGTATTTAGAAAATGGACAAAGATCGAGAGTGATAAAGATTCTTAGAGTGTCATTAAAAGAGAGTTGTAAATACTAAACATTAACAAGCAGATGCCAACTAATAATTTTGGTTAGTTGTAAATACTAAACATTAAAGTCTAATGCTTATATTTTCTAATATTCTAGTTCGTGCACATGGAGTACCACGGGTTGATAGACTAGTATGCAAAATTATCATGCCTCAAAATAGTACAGCGATGGCAAATGTTGTTTAACGTTGACCATTTCTTGATGCCTTTTTTTTATACATTACTATAAGGCCAGTCTCAATGAAAGTTTTAAAGGAGTTTTATTCTCATTTAGTGTTGTGGCATATCAACAAATTTGCTGAGTTGACATGTTAATTATGAAGAGAGAGATAGAGAGTTTCGTAGAGTTTCATCTAGATGAAACCCGCTGTTAGAGTTACCAGCACAAAGTTGACGTGTCAGTTTGTGTGATGAAACTCCCCATTGAGACTGGCCTACGCATGTTTCAATTGTTAAGTCTAACCACCAGATAATACAAAGGAAATTATTTCGGCCATTAAATTTTCACAAGCACCTCAACAGCCTAGAATCCCAGATGCTGAATTGTTTTTTATTTGTTGAAAGTTGTAGCAAGTGACATATATAGGTAGGAGTACAATAATACTTGTAGTTAAGACTCAACTCATCTCGCATAACGCATCTTTCCAGTACTCTGGATAAATGGAAGAGGAAACTCTGCATCGTGTATTTAGGAACTCCAGCACTTTAATTTTCTTATTAGAATAAGGCTTCTGATATCCTCTTCTGAAAATCCCATCTCCAGGTACTTCCAGTGGATACATCCTCGTCTCCAGCACAAGCATCACTGCTTCCTGCCACTAGCTACACCACACAAGAAACAACCAACATAAAGGGAGTTAGCAGACTGAGAGAGCACGTACAGTACACAATGCGGGACCTGGTGATTGGGTTAGCCAAGTCGGTGGTGGAGGTGGCCCAGAACAAGGTCCAATCGGCAGTCGAGTTAAATCTGCATCCCGTGAGCGTGGGGCATGTCCTGGTGTTCATAAAAAAAGAGTTCGGTATGATCCATTCCTCCCTTAAAGTCACTGACGAGGTGCACATCAACGACGTCGTGGCATGGGACTGGCTGAGGCAGGTGCGTGAGCTGGCCTATGACCTAGAAGACTGCATCGAGGTCGTCTTTTTCCTGATGGATGCCGTCGATTCGTGGGAAGCAGTGCCTATGATCGAGGCGTTAAGGGTGAGGGTGGAGGACTTAAGCCACTGGAACTCTCGGTACAGCTTCATCAGCAACTCTGGCTCCAAGTCCAAGCCCGTCCTCGCGCAGCAACAACCGGCGCCTCCCAATTCTGTCGGATACGACACGAGAAGACACCACATCTTAGGGGATCTCACCCAGCTTATCACCAACAAGGACGATGCTGACCTTCAAGTGATTTCGGTGTGGGGGGCAGACGGAGGTATTGGGACGACATCCATCATCAGAAGCTGCTACAGTGATCCAGAGATCATTCAAAGTTTCATATGCCGAGCCTGGGTCAACCTCACTCATCCATTCAATCCCCGTGAGTTTGTCCGGTCCTTGATGGCTCACTTCTACGCAAACAGTTGCCAAGAACGAAAAGGAGCAGTCATTGGTGTTGATGTCCTAACTAGTATGGATGCGAGTGCCGATCTCCTCAGTGAGTTCGTTCAGATAGTTGACAAGAACAGGTACCTCGTTGTCTTGGAAGACCTGACCACCATGGCAGAGTGGGATTCAATCCGGACGTTCCTTCCCAACAGAAAGAATGGCAGCTGGATCGTCGTGTCCTCACAGAAATACGAAGTTGCAAGTTTATGCGTGGGACATCCGTATCAAGTATTGGACCTGAAGCAGTTGCCGGGTGAACACTATATTTGTGCTTTCTTGAGAGAGGTAAACCTGAAAACACCCGCCAGTTACCTTAATTCTGCAAATAAAATTACTCTCTTGCTACTTCCTATGTTATAAATGTGTCGAATATTTAATTGTATTAATTGGGTTACAGTAAACTTGTGTTGTAATTAGCAATAGAAGGTTAGGTGAGCTAGATATTGGCTCTTGTAACCCGGTCCCTCTATAAAAGGAGGGGGCTGCACTTGTAACCTACTCAATCACGATAGTGAGAAGCAACACAAAGCAACAGTGTAAGAGCCCTGTTGGTTAGGGGCCCTAGGGTGGCTGCGGCTATGGTGGCGGTGGCTAGGGTTTAGGGGAGGAAGAGGGGGCGACGCAGGGGAAGAAGAGGAGGAGGTGACGCAACACACACAGAGAGAGAGAGAGAGGGATAGGGAAGCCCTTAGGCTGTTCTTTCTTGACCACAATGATTACATAGCCCTCTACTTATAGTCCTGGGTAGACTTGTATTCTAAGTAATCTAATGAGGAAAGTTCTTATAGACATGGACTCCTCCCTATCTAATCTCAACCGATCCTATTCCTATTGGGGATCCTCCGGGTATGGATAGTGGAGCGGTGGGGACCCGCCCTTGCTGTGCGCGCCTCCTTCCTAGGCGGCGCCCTCCTTGGTTGCGGCATTGCTGCTGCCCCTGGCGCCTAGGCCAGATGGGCCTTCAACCCTCATTGGGCATATGACATCACTCCCCCCTTCTCCGATCAGCGCGTCCTCGCGCTGAAGTAGTGTCCAAGTGTTGATGCTGTCGGGTGGATACGCTTGTCCTGGGAGGATGGCTTCAATGGCGATGAAGAGGCGGCCACGAATTGGGTCTGCAAGGATGAGGTTGTCCCTCGTGCGTTCCACACGAACTCGAGGCGGTAGAGTAGGTTGCTGATGTAGCTGTAGAAGAAGTAGGTGTATGGCCTGATTGTTCCCTCCGCGGTCGTCGTTATTCGGCGGGCTGCTAGCATCAAGGTGCGGCGGACCGCGGCGTCGACGGCGAAGTGCTGCATCTCTTTCGGTGGCGCCGTGAAGTTGTTGGAGTGATTGGCGATGTCAGGAAGCAAGTAGGTGTTCACCCGTCGCCAGATGGTGGAGTTGGAGCATGTAGCTGGCGTTGTTGTCAGGTCCAGAATGGTGCCGAACATGAAGTAGCCCTTCTCGAACTCGTTAGGGGATAGCTGTTGTTGGTCGGAGTCGGGTTGGAGGCCGGTGAAGATGTTGTCAACGTAGAAGATCTGTCGTCCCAAGCCGTTGATGAAGATCACCGTAGTGGGGGAGACTGCGTCCTGCAGCCATGGGCGACCCAACAGAATGCCTGTGGGGGTGGCATTGTGGTGGGGAGCCATTGGTGGTGAGTGGCTGCCTAGAGCCAGGTACCTCATATTATCGGGGCACCTAGTGATATGGCCGCAAGTAGATCCAGAAGGAGTGGCGATGTAGCGGGGATGTAGAGGCGCCCATTGAAGAAGAGCAAGCCTTGGTCAATTGACCAGGCCGGCGCTGCCGCCCCTTGGGTGATGGTGAGGGCGAGGTGGCGTAGCTCTCTCTGTTGAAGCATGGCCCGGCATAGACTATCGAAGACCGGCGCGATGGTGCCGATGTTGTCGAGGGCGTCGGGGCGTCGAGACCGGCTTGCCCGGTTCGTTATGTCGCGGGGTGGTGATAGTGGTGCTTGTAGTCGAGGTAGCGCTGGTTGTTCCTGTGGTATCCTAGTGATGGGCGGCAGTGCCAGGAGAGCGAGAACGGTCGCCAGTGCGCGTCGGGGCTGTACGGCGGCAAAGGAGATGGAGCGCTCGTTGCGGTAGTACTGAAGCTCCATGGTGGGGAAGTCCCATGTGAAGCATTCGAGGTCTGCCAACCATGGCGTGCCTAGGATGACGTCGATGTCGTTGCCAATGTCGAGGAGGAAGGCATTGACCTGGAAGCTTTCCGCATTAATGCGGAGTGGCACGCTGAAGGCTCCTGCTCGACACGAGATGTCGTGGCCACTGCCAACGAGAATGGTGGTGGTGATGCGCTGCTCGAGGAGGCCGATAGTTCGTGCGACGTTGATGTCGATGATGTTGTGTGTAGCGCCCGTGTCAACCAATATGTGGACGCCGGTGCCCAATATCGCTCATGCAAGAAACATGGGAGGGGAGCTACGAACCACCCACTGAGTAGTACCTATCATCATGAGTAGGCTATTGTCGATGTCCTTGGTGTCGTAGTTGTTGAAGGCCGTGATGTCGAAGAGGTTCTTGCATTTGTGGTCGCGTTCCATCATCTCCGTGGAGGTGAGGCGTTTGAGGGGGCGTGGTAGATGTGTTGGTGGCGCGCCTGGTGTCGTTGCCGTTGTCAGAGCCGAGAGGGTCCCCACCAAAAGTAGTTCTAGAACCGCTATCAGTGCAAGAGTGTCGAGACGAGCGATGAGCTCGCCAAACTTCTTCATCCACTGGTCGGTGACGTCGCGGATGTCGGGGGTCTTCTTGGGGCGTGGATGCTCGTCATTGCGGCGAGCGTCGTTGTCCCCAATCTTGGTGGCGAGTCATTTGTGGAGATGGCCGCGGTGCGACACGGTGGTTGCGTCTTCATTTGCGAGGTGCGACAATGTGAGGCGGCGCGTGCGCTCGGGCAATGTGAATGCTTTCTGCTTGTTGTTGGCGGCTGTGGTAGCCCCAAAGTTGGTGATCGGAGCATACCCGTTGTTGACGATGTGTTAGACGTCGTTCCCCTAAGGAACAAACCTGCTGTTGTCGTGCGTGGTTCCCTCGGCGGTGATCTCATTTGTGGAGTTGGTGCCGTGCTTGGTGACCGAGGAGGTTCCATCTGAAGACTCCTTAGACGCATCTGTAGGAGCAAAAGTAGGGCTGATTTTGGTGTCGAACCTGCTGAGTGTTGGTGTGATCTTCTCCAGTTGAATTGGATTTGATGGAGGGATTTGGCATTGCTGATCAAGGAACTTGTTCATCTCCTCCAAAAAGTGATCGGTGATGTTGTGGACGTTGTTGCAGATTGTCTCCATGTCAACGATCTTGGTGGTGGTGGCCATCGGTTCGATCTGGTCTTCGAGATACCAGTGTAAGAGCCCTGTTGGTTAGGGGCCCTAGGGTGGCTGCGGCTATGGTGGTGGCGGCTAGGGTTTAGGGGAGGAAGAGGGTGTGGCACAGGGGAAGAAGAGGAGGAGGTGACGCAACAGAGAGAGAGAAAGAGAGAGAGGAGAGGGAGGGATAGGGATAGGGAAGCCCTAAGGCTGTTCTTTCTTGACCGCAATGATTACATAGCATCTCTACTTATAGTCCTGGGTAGACTTGTATCCTAATTAATCTAATGAGGGAAGTCCTTATAGATATGGACTCCTCCATATCTAATCTCAACCAATCCTATTCCTATTGGGGATCATCCGGGTATGGATAGTGGAGCGGCGGGGACCCACCCTTGCTGTGCGTGCCTCCTTCCTAGGCGGCGCCCCCCTTGGTTGCGGCACTGTTGCTGCCCCTAGCGCCTACGCCAGATGGGCCTTCAGCCCTCATTTGGGCGTATGACAAACATGCTCGTGGGGGTGTTGGCGATTTTGGCCGGCGCCCCGGGCAGCCAGTGTCGCGGTTTCGGGGAGGAGCGCCCGTAAGCATGCCCCGGGGACGTAGTCTTCGGCCTAACCTCGTTACCAAACATCGAGTCTCTTTTGCGGTGTGTGCGATCTCTCGTGAGCATCTCACCTAGGTAGATCCAAGCAATCGCTTCCGTGTAAGGCGCCAGTATCACAATATCCTCCGTTTTCTTTTAGCCTTAGTCTTTGTTATGTGTGTGATTGATCCTTCAGCGCACGCTGGATTAATATCCCGTCTACCATATTGAGTATAGTATTCGTATTTCTCCAGGGTTAGAACTAAGCCATTGAATTATCACACTTGCTCCAAAACTTCCATGCCATAAGATTGCAAGAAGAATACTACTTTCTTAACACATAAAGGCATGTACAACCCAGAGACAGGGTCGTCTGTACGAGCCTCGAATCTAACGTAGAGACAACTAAAAACTGTTTCACTGTCTGTGAACTATTTATTGTTGTGTATATAGCCTAGATCAATTGTCAAGACTATTTTGTATACTAGTGTGTTGCTATTTGCTAAAAAAACGGATCAAACTTAAATAAGATGAACATGATTACAATATTTTAAAATAATCAATATAAATGATATATTGTATATAATTGCAACATCTTTATCTATTTTCTTTGTTTTCATAGCGCAAGCAACTGCTACAGATTTGACTTCAATGAAAATTTCACTAGAAAGATCCACACAGAGGCACACAACATCCTCTTAGCCCCGAGTCAGCAAAAAACAGCTACCATTTCACATTATGAAAATAGCATAGTGACAATGTTTTCCATGTATTAGCCAAACACAGTACCATTCCACGCAGCTAATCAGGTAGGACAAAATCATTTTGCAAACTATTGATTTACTGGCTAAACAAAGAATATGCATATTCAGTGAAACATTTGAGTAAGAAACAATACACTAACCGCTCATACATGACAGCATGTTCAGTAATATAATTGGAGCTTTGAACTTTTCCAGAACATGACCATATATGAATCTAGTTTTCAGATTACAGATAACAAAAACATGGCCATCTATGACTCTAGTTTTCAGATAACACTAATACACCAATTTTCAGATAACAGATAACCAATTTTCAGATACTGGTAACTGAAGCCAATGCGAGGCCACCGACGGAGCTTTTTGGGTGCAGATGACGTTGCATGCCCATCACCCACCGTCGTTGTCATTGCGCTGCACAACTGCTGCCGCCCTCTTGTGCTCCCGCGACCATGCATCTCACAGCCCCACCCCACACACTCGCCGCGTCTACGACCTCACACAGTGTTGCGCTCTTCTGCAGCACGGGACCAGCTTCTGCCATGGATTAGGGGCGAATCGGCCACGCTAGATCCAGCCATCGAGGAAGTTGCCGCCGGCCGCCACCATGACCAATGGGGATGGGTACCGCCGCCTCGCCGCCACCGTGACCATGGTGTTGGTGGCTGCCGCCGCCGCCATGCCCTTCCTAATCGAAGCCGACACAGACGGGGAAGAAAGCGAGGACACCGGGGAGTTTGGCGCGCCGCACCATCCTGTGCGCGCCCAAACCAGAAACTGCGCGTGCCCACGCGGGAACCAAGCACCCTGTCGACTAGTGAGGATGAGGTCCTACAGCGCGGCTCTCTCCATCGACTGGCCTCGGAGTACGGGCCTTCCACGTCGCCTCGCGAGACGACGGGGAGACCGTCTACTGAGCGGAACGGGGGGAATTTTGCAAAATTGCTGATATGGAGAAGGGAAAAAGACGAGCGCTGTACGTGCCCTAAGGTCTGATTGGTTGCTTGCATTAGCATAGCCTGCATTAATTAGACCTTATGCAGCATAACTGAAATTAGCATAAATATACGAAGTGTCTTGGTTTATGGTTATCCAGCATAACCAGCCAAGTATGATAATTATGTTTCGTTGTTTACAATGTAGCCAACTCTATGTTGTAGTTGAGGTCTCATATTTATAGTAGAGGTACGCAGAGTAAGAATATTTTATTTTTGTTTATTAGCTTTTTCAAATATGCATTATCTAAGTATAATGAAATCTAGTTTTCTGGCTAATGTTGTATTGGGCTGTTTTGAGCACTGTGAAAGCCTACATAAAAGTCTATACAGACAACCAAACACGATAAACTGTGCACTACACAAGCCTTGATACAAGTTAATGCATGTACCCAATCAGATCCATAGTGTCTTGGAGTATTTCTCCTTATACCGATGCCATTAATTATAGCATATATTTGTTCCTATATGACATTGGGCCCGAAACTAATATAAAACGGAACAACTCTACCTAATAGCCGTACTCCCTCCGTCTAGAAAAAAACGTAATTCTAGCTTTGAACCTAGACAGGTTCAAAGCTAGAATTACGTTTTTTTCTAGACGGAGGGAGTACATGGTTTAATGGTTGGATTTTGTGCCAAAACTGTATCACTATCATGATACAACTTTCCTCTTTCTTCATTTGTCAATTGCGGGATCATTTATTATCACCCACGTATGACATTATAATAACTTATAAATCTGTATTTAAATTACCCATCTAACATTGTGAAAGGCAATACAAAGTAATAACTCTTAAATTTGCATCTTTCTTAACTGACTATGCCATTATGAAAGTTTCAAAAAAAAAAACGACTATGCCATTATGGAAGATAACCTAGTGTAACCTCTAAATTTGCATACTTCAATCAATATAAAAAGATAATTTAAAGTAACCCCACATTTGCATCTAAGCTACCAGCTCTATCAAAGTAACCCCTACATTTGTATCAAAGTTACCCAGCCCTATCAAAATAACCCCTACATTTGCATCTAAGTTACCCAACCCTATCAAAGTAACACCTACATTGATTTTGCCCCTCTTATAACTCATCTATAACCCCTCCTCCTCATTCATATTTTCTGGGTCCACCCCGTATCCATCCATATTTCGGTTATAATTTTTCGTGAACCCACGGTGGTTCCTGGTATTACTCGAGCTAAGCTATAGTTGTTCGGGTTTACCGAGTTAGTTTATGATGGTTGCACCATAAGAGGTACGATATTAATTTTTGAGTGAAGTGCATGGCCGTTCTCAAACTTACATCGGTGTGATATGCCGCTACTAATAATCTTAAATTGCATCGTTTTGGCCTAAATCTCTGTTAGGTCTTAGTGGCCATCCAAACAGGTCAGTGCTTGTGCCTTTGTGCTCATGTGGCATGTTGAGTGTGTGGTGATGTGACTCTAATATGCGGGGCCAATGTAGGACTGGATTGCTTGACATAGAAGCTTGGAGGGGTTTATGTGAAGATACAAACTTCCCCGGGTTATTTCCCAAAACTATCATCATCTTCTGCAGCAGTGTGCAACAATAGCTGGCTGGGGTTGTGCAGCCCATCATCCATCGATGCTTGCGGCCAACGGGGTTAGGCTGGGATAGTGCAGCATGGCTAATCGGGAGGAGGGAGGGGGAGGGAGGCAGCGACGAACGGGGCATAGCGTTGGGCGGTTGTGACATTGGCGGTAAGCGGAGTGCGCACATGGGGTTGGGCGCAGGTAAGCCACGGTTGGCGGCCGGCTCGGTGTCAGCGCCCGGAGTTGGAGAGGGAGATAAGGGTCAAAGGTACAACAACGAAGATCTTTGTAACCGGCCACACCGAGGTATAGAGCTTACAAAGGCGAACTCAATGGTGATGTTGGATTTTGCCAAAGAGCCTCAGATGTAGAGAAATTGCTCATCGGAGTTCTGTCGAGTTCCGTCACCGGCTCACCGCACCCATGAGTCAGCCTCAGCCATCCAAATCATTGAAGTGTGACTCGCCTCCTATCTCCTTTCTGCCCCGTCGTGTCCATGCCATCTTTGGCCCACACCTTAGAGCTTCCACCCTCTGCCGCCCATCACCAGGCTAGCTCGTCCGCCTATGCCTTCTCCAGTTCTCCCCCTATGGCCCATGAGTAGCATGAGCCAATCAATCATGGCCATGAGAAAGGTAGGAGAGGAGAGATGGAGCTGATATGTGGGTTCTACATGTTGGGTCAATGACAACACACACTTCGTATGCCACATTGATACATGGGTAGGGTCAGATTTGTTTGGACGACTAAGAGACCCCAACAGAGTTTAAGGCCTGAACCGATGCAATTTAAGAGTACATGGACCAGCAATGACATAATATAAGTTTGAGGATCGGCCATAAATTTTACTCTTAATTTTTTTATTCATATTCATGTGATTAAAATTTCTGCACAAAATTAAGAACTTTTTTTCTGTCTTTTACCCGTTTCTTATTTTTAGGGTTTTGAAGACGCTGGAGATAAAAGCGAGGCCAACAATGATAGCACATCGACACGAAGCAATGAGATATCAACAGAGTATGACTTCAGCCATAACCAGAGGAATGTCTATTCCTCTTACCACAGGATCGTCCCCAACTCTAAAATGAAAGCAGCCAGGGACTGGATGCAGAAATCTTCCCTTGTTGGACGCCGATTGCAGATGGATCAACTTCGTCACTGTACAGTTCAGGCACAAATGAACCATTCTCAAGTTATGTTTGTTTGGGGGATACCTGGCGTGGGGAAATCAGCTCTTGTCAGGAACTTGTACTGCGACAGGATACTAGAGAACCAGCAATTTCAAGAATACGGTTGGGTGGGTTTATCACACTCCCGACCCTTCAATTTAAGGGACTTCTCACGGAGCTTGCTTATGAATTTTCATTCAGAGTCTCTTCAAGCCAAGGAAACTGCACCCTCTAATATAGTGGGGATCAAAGACGCCATTGGAAAGTGTCGTGAGGTTCTAAGTACACGTCGGTGCCTTGTTGTTATCGATGGTCTTGAGTCCATACAGGAATGGGATTTGATACAATCTTCGTTGGTATCTAGACACTCTAAATCTAGAACTGTCATCATTGTGATAACAACTGAAGCAAGCATTGCAACATACTACGCAGATAAGGAAGAACTTGTGTTTAATGTCAAAACTCTAGAAGCTGATGCAGCCTTTGATCTCTTCGAAAATGAGGTGTGTTTCCTCGATCCGCCCAGTATATAGATCAGAAGTAAAACACATACATAGAAACAAACATGTATATACATGATATCCTGCTACTTCAGTAACCTCGGTATTTTCCTGCATGCATGTATGTCCTTGCTCGTACTTACCATTTCACCCAGGGACATCTAAATATGGCATGAGATAATAATTGATAAGTTTATCATGTTAGATAATTAGGCATTTTCAATAGCAATTTAATCCAGAAAAAGACGATAAAGAAAAGGTTGGTGACATCATACATGTTTGATCTAAGCATGAACGTCATGTATATGATACTAACCAGCAAGGTAAGTACACAAGACCTTACTGGATAACAGAGAACAGAGACATACCCAGCGGCAGAGCCGGATGCACTAGTCGACATAGTGCCTGTCGGTGTAGTCGTCCCACTCGTTGCAGTGCAGGAAGGAAGCAGTGCCGATCACCAGAGACGTGCGCCGGCGCCGGGAAGAAGAAGACGGTCGATGCGAGTAGTCGTGCCGCCAACGACACTCCCAAAAAACGTGATTGCCGCCCTTCACCCGAGTAGGTGAAACTCGAAGACGGCAGGCGTTCCCGAGGCTCTACTCAGCCAATTCCTGTGCGCGCAGGGAACCGGGACGGGGAGAACCAAAGAGCAGCAGATGTGGTTGACTCCGAAGCGAAGAAGAAGATGACTGACGGAGGAGTTGGGAATATATGCTCACGGCAGGGAAGCGATGAGTCTCAGGAGGAGATCAGGAGACGGAAGAGCTCTGTCCATCAAGGCTCAGCCAGCGGTAACGGGTGAAACTCCCATCATCAAGTCGCCACTGATTAAAAATGGAAGAAACTCCCGTAATTATACGACTTAATTGGCAAAACATGGCCCCGTAATTATAAACATTTAATTTGGCAAAACGCCGCCGCCCGCCCGCCACGCCGCGCCCACGCCGGCGCGGCGGCATGGCGGCGGCGGCGCAGCAGCAAGGTGTGGCACACCTATGTCCTTTTCTCCGCTTCTCAATATAGATGAACAATATTCAACCATATAAACTGAGTCAACGTCTAGTCAAAATCCTGTACGGTATTAAACCATACACCGCGCATTATTACGGGTCATAGAGTTTATTTGATTTATTAAATATTATATGGGCCAAGCCCATAATATATCCAACAATCTCCATCAAACTCTAGGGTTCGTAGTAAACTAGTCTCAAAACCACATTTCTTTGATATACCAGTGTTTCGATGGAGATTGTTAAGTTGAACATCCATCTAGAGCAATAGTTACACTCGGTCACAACTAAAAATGGACTATGCCTTGAATTGACAGTTTTGTGTGGAAGTTAGTTTCACTAAAGTTCTTAACTAGTACTAGGTTGCAAAAAGCATCCCCTCTATTTGAAGCATATAAGTCACACTTCACGGCCTTTCATAAGTATCTAGAGATTACCCACATCTCATAGATTGTGACTAACAATCGAACTCATATAGGTGTGTTCCTTCTAGGATGTCCTGTAGGACAACATCCCTGCTTTAATAAGCCACTCGGATCACATTAAGAAATTAACCATCCTGCCTTACAGCATTGGAGAAACGGTGCATCTCAAACGATTCGGGCCTTAACATAAGGGGTCTCTCCCTCAGTCAACCACTAGCTTCACGGGATCTCCGATCACATAGAATAGGTTACCACTATGGAATGACTTCAAGTGGGTCTCAAGCCCAACTCCCTCAATGCACCTTCTATCACATTACATAACAAACCCTTAGTAAACTGATCTGCCAGATTTTTAGATGTATGGACATAGTCCAATGCAATTACTCGAAGTTTCTCAGTTTTCTGGCAGATTTTAACCGCCTTTTCACATGCCTTGTAGACTTCACGTTGTCCTTAGAACTGTTCACCTTAGTTATCATAGTTTGTTTGTCACAGTTCATAGAAATATCCGGTATAGGTTTCTCTACAACCGGTACATCCATAAAGAGTTCACGAAGCCACTCGGCCTCAACGCTAGCGGCGTCTAATGCTGTGAGTTCTGCTTTTATTATAGACTTCGTTAAAACAGTCTGCTTGCAAGACTTCTAGAAAATAGCGCCACCTCCAAACAAGAACGCGTATCCGCTTGTGGCATACAGTTCATCAGCATCAGATATCCAGTTAGCATCACAGTAACCCTCCAGTACCCTCGGGTACCCGATATAGTGAATGCCATAGCTCATGGTTCCCTTCAGATAAGCGCAACACCCTCTTAAGAGCGTGCCAATGTGTATCTCCCGGATTTGAAACAAACCGGCTAAGTTTGCTCACAGCAAACGAGATATCAGGTCTTGTTGCACTAGCCAAATACATTAGTGAGTCAACAATTTGAGAATATCTCAATAGATCTCGTGATATTCTACGATTTTTTCTTAATAGCACACTTGGGTCATAGAGAGTTGGAGAAGGCGTGCATTCACTATAACCAAAGCGATTTAGCACATTTTCCACATAGCAGGATTGCACAAGTGTTACCCTACCATTTCCTTCTCTTAGTAGCTTAACGTTAAAAATAACATTAGCCTCACTCAAATCTTTCATCTCAAAATTATTAGACAGGAAATCTTTCACTTCCTTGATCACATTAATATTATTTTCAAAGATTAAAATATCATCCACATACAAGCACAAAATTACACCTTCTTCCCCACCATACCAATAATAAACGCATTTATCAGCTTCATTCACTATAAAACCGGCTGATGTCAAAGTTTTGTCAAACTTCTCATGCCACTGCTTAGGAGCTTGCTTTAGACCATACAAGGATTTTAATAATTTACAAACCTTACCCTCTTGACCTTTTGCTATAAATTCATCAGGCTGATCTATGTAGATCTCTTTCTTAAGCTCTCCATTTAAGAAAGCTGTCTTAACGTCCATCTGATGAATGAGAAGACCGTGTGAGGCAGCCAAGAACAACAGCACACGTATGGTCGTCAAACGGGCAACTGGTGAGTAAGTATCAAAATAATCCTCTCCTTCCTTTTGAGTATAACCTTTAGCCACTAGCCTCGTTTTGTACTTCTTAATAGTACCATCAGGCCTTAGCTTCTTTTTGAATACCCATTTACACCCCATTGATTTACATCTGTAAGGACGATCAACCACTTCCCAAGTTCCATTAGACATAATAGAATCTATCTTACTTTGAACAGCTTCCTTCCACAAGTCAGCGTCAAGAGATGAATATGCCTCAGCTATGGTTGTGGGAGTGTCATCCACAAGGTATATAATATAGTTTTCACCAAAGGATTTTGCAACCCTCCGTCTCTTACTCTTTCGAGTGACTATATCATTATCCTTCTCAGAAATTTCTTCATGGGTTTCAACATCAGCGTGTATTACGGTTCATGTGTCTCAGGCAGAAAAATAGATTCATGACTGGAAGTGCTAGGTGTATTCTTCATGGGAAATTCATTCTAAAAAATATCGCATCTCTAGATTCCATAATTGTACCAACAACCATGTCATGAACACTAGAGTTTATTATTAAAAATCTATAACCCACGCTGTGAATATCATAACCGAGAAAGGCACAATCAACAATTTTTGGTCTAAGCTTTCGCTTTTTATTTATTGGCACATTCACCTTTGCCAAACAACCCCAAGTTCACATGTAAGAAAGATTTAATCTCTTCTTCTCCCATTACTCGAATGGTGTAATTTCTTTGTTCTTTGTGGACACCCTATTCAGGACATGACACGCTGTCAATATAGCCCCACCCCACCATTCCTTAGATAGTCCTGCAGTCTCTAACATGACGTTAACCAACTCAGTTAGAGTGCGGTTCTTTCTCTCTGCAATCCCATTGACTATGGTGAATATGGTGGCGTCCTCTCATGAATAATTCCATACACCGCGCAAAACTCAAAAAATTCGTTTGAGAAATATTCTTCCCCGCGATGAAGCCGCAAATGTTTAATTTTTTTAAAGTTGATTCTCTACCTCAGCTTTATAGATCTTAAAATAATACAACGCTTCATCTTTTGATTTTAGTAAATACACATACAAAAAACGAGTCCAATCATCTATGAAAGTTATGAAATATCTTTTGCCACATTTGGTCAATTCTCCATTCATCTCACACATCAGAATGGATTAGTTCTAACGGTGCCAAATCCCTCGCCGCAGCAGCCTTGTGAGACATGCGAGGTTGTTTTGATTCAACACATACATGGCACTTAGAACCTTTGACCACATTGAATTTCGGAATTAAATTTAAACCAGTTAAGTGAGTCATGCAACCAAAATTAATATGATATAATCGCGAATGCCAAATATTTGTCCCATCATCGTGGCTCACATGGTTCACGAAATTAACAAGTATCTGTCAAAGACAAGCAGAACAAGCCTCCGCTCTCATAGCCTTTCCCAACAAAAGTATCATACTTAGAAAGTACGCACTTATTAGACTCGAATACAAGTTTAAAACCATCACGACAAAGCAAAGAACCACTAATCAAATTCTTCTTTATTCAGGGGACATGATGCACGTTCTTCAGCTGCACGATTTTTCCCGAAGTAAGCTTCAGATCGACCGTACCAACACCACGTATAGCCGCACGCGCCCCGTTCTCTATCAACAAGAAGGAAGTCCGCCCGACATGATAAGAAGAAAACAAAGAAACATCAGCACACACATGTATATTTGCACCAGTATCAACCCACCAATCAGGTGAATGACAAATTAAAAGAACAATAGGCAATAAATTACCGTACCCCGTTGATCCTGCATCAGTCTCAATTGTGTTTGTTGTTTTCTTGTTTGGCTTCTACTTAGCCTCCTCGCACTCTCTAGCATAGTGCACAGGCTTGTCACAAGTGAAACAATTTCCCTTTTCCTTGTTCTTCTTCTTCTTCTTAAAAGGAGCGGTAGACTTTTGTTTTAGTTCTTCCTGGAATTTCTTCTTTTGGGGCTTAGGATGATTCTTCTGTACCACATGGGCACTCGAACTCCCCTCACCGACCTTCTTGCCACGGACATCCTTTGCTCTCGCCTTCTCTTCAACATCTAAAGAGCCAATGAGCTCAGCAATGCCAAATTCTTGTCTCCTATGTTTCAGAGAGGTAGCAAAATCTGTCTAAGCCTGTGGCAGCTTAGCAATGATACAGCCTACCACAAACTTGTCAGGCAACACACATCCAAACATTTCGAGTTCTTTTGCCAGTGTTTGTACCTCATGAGCTTGTTCCACTACAGAACGGCCATCGACCATCCGGTAGTCATGAAACTGCTCCATGACATACAACTCAGAACCAGCATCAGACACTCCATATTTGGCCTCAAGTGCTTCCCACATGGCCTTACCAGTCGATAGCGGCACATATGCATCTACTATGGAGTCTCCTAGCACGCTCAAAATTGCTGCCTTGAACGTATTGTCAGCATGTTGGAACGCACGCTCCTACTCAGGAGTATGCAGCCCAACAGCCCTAGGCTCAGCAACAAAGTAGCGGTGCATAGCAGTCAATCATAATATGCACCTCTTCCGCCACCTCTTATAGTGAGTGCCCTCAAACACATTCGGTTTCAGCATACCTGCAAAGCCAACTACCGAAAATTGCCTATCACGTTTTTTGATTGTTAGATAATTAGACATTTTCAATAGCAATTTAATCCAGAAAAAGACGATAAACAAAAGGTTGGTGACATCATACATGTGCTTGTGTGATCTAAGCATGAACGTCATGTATATGATACTAACCAGCAAGGTAAGTACACAAGACCTTACTGGATAACGGAGAACAGAGACATACCCAGCGGCAGAGCCAAGGTTGGTGACATCATACATGTGCTTGTGTGATCTAAGCATGAACGTCATGTATATGATACTAACCAGCAAGGTAAGTACACAAGACCTTACTGGATAACGGAGAACAGAGACATACCCAGCGGCAGAGCCGGGTGCACTAGTCGACATAGTGCATGTCGGTGTAGTCGTCCCGCTCGTTGCAGCGCAGGAAGGAAGCAGTGCCGATCATCAGAGACGTGCGCCGGCGCGGGAAGAAGAAGACGATCGATGCGAGTAGTCGTGCCGCCAACGACACTCGCCAAAAACGTGATTGCCGCCCTTCACCCGAGCAGGTGAAACTCAAAGACGGCAGGCGTTCCGGAGGCTCTACTCACCTAGTTCCTGTGCGCGTAGGGAACCGGGACAGGGAGAACCAAAGAGCAGCAGATGTGGTTGACTCCGAAGGCTCTACTCACCTAGTTCCTGTGCGCGCAAGGAACCGGAACGGGGAGAACCAAAGAGCAGCAGATGTGGTTGACTCCGAAGCGAAGAAGATAACTGATGGAGGAGTTGGGATGTGGTTGACTCCCGAGGCTCTACTCACCCAGTTTCTTTGCGCGTAGGGAACCGGGACGGGAGAACCAAAGAGCAGCAGATGTGGTTGACTCCGAAGCGAAGAAGAAGATGACTGACGGAGGAGTTGGGAATATATGCTCGCGGCAAGGAAGCGATGAGTCTTAGGAGGAGATCGGGAGACGGAAGAGCTCTGTCCATCAAGGCTCAGCCAGCGGTAACGGGTGAAACTCCCATCATCAAGTCGCCACTGATTAAAAACGGAAGAAACTCCCATAATTATGCGACTTGATTGGCAAAACACGGCCCCGTCCTGCCACGCCCACGCCCACGCCCACGGCGGCGGCGGCGCGGCGCGTGCGCGTGTGGCACACCTATGTTATTTTCTCAGCTTCTCAATATAGATGAACAATATTCAACCATATAAACCGATTCAACGTCTAGTCAAAATTTCGTACGGTATTAAACCATACACCGCGTATTATTACGGGTCATAGAGTTTATTTGATTTATTAAATATTATATGGGCCAAGCCATAATATATCCAACATATCAATGTTGGACAGAGATCATAGAGTATCTATATGAAATATTTTATTAGCTGTAAATATTAGTGGTAAACATCTTGATACTTATGACTACTAAGATTCTAGTCCAGATGTGAGCATGAGTTGATGGACTAGTGTATATAATTATATAAGTACATTATGTGAAAATCCTACGCAAATTAATGGTAATTAAGGTCAGTTGTTGATCTGTTTGAATGTACAGGTAGCATCTAAGAAGACTCTATTGTCCGCTTCACCGTCTTATCGCGAAAATGCGGTGCTGCGAGAACTTATTTCAAAGTGCGGGGGCCTTCCCTCAATAATAGTGGCTATGGCTGGCATATTGGCTACCAAGGCAGCGTGGATGGACGCTGCAGGTTCCATCAATCTGAGGTTTATAAATGAGGTAGAGATGAACCCGGAGTTTGACAGCCTATGGGATCTATTTAGTTGGATGCATTCCTGCTTCCGCACTTGTCCGGATTCCATCAAGCCATGCATCTTCTACCTATCATTTTTTCCTAGAGACCACAACATTCGGCGAAGGCGTCTAGTAAGGCGTTGGATCGCTGAGGGCTACTCCAGGAACAGTTTTGGTAAATCTGCAGAGGAGAATGGGGAGGACTTCTTCTCCAAGCTCCTCAATCTGAGCATAATCCAACCGGAGTCATCAGCCATTAGTGACGCAAGGGTGGTCTTATGCCGAGTCAATGGATTTTTGCGTGAGTGCATCCTGTCACGGGCAATGGAGGAAAACCTTGTATTTGAACTGACCGACACTAGCAGCCCAACCACCAAAAGCAGTGGACGTCATCTTGTCATATCTGAAAACTGGGACAGAAATATGACCGTGTTCCAGAGGATCGACTTCTCACGGCTACGGTCAATGACAGTGGTTGGAATGTGGAAATCATTCTTCATCTCCCAAAGTATGAAGCTTCTCCGGGTGTTGGATCTGGAGGATTCATTAGGTTTAACAGATGCAGATGTTGAGCAGATGGTAAAGTGGCTGTGTCACCTCAAGTTCCTGTCGCTAAGAGGATGCCGTGGGATCTTCCATCTACCTAGCTCAATTGGTGATCTGAGGCAGCTTCAGACTTTGGACGTGATGGACACCTCCATAGTCACTCTGCCAGCAACTATCACCAAACTACGGAATCTGCAGTATATCCGTGGGGGCACGCCTAGTATCTCATCAGAGGATCCATCAGTGCCAAATGCTTCTTCATCCTGGCTGTCCAAGTTCCGCCATCTCAGTCATCTTGTTGGTCTTCGGGTGCCCATTGGGATCAGGGAACTGAGGTTCTTGCACACGCTTGGTGTAGTTAATATAGGTTCTTCAGCGGGGGAGGCCATACTGAAAGCACTAAAGAAGCTCACCCAATTGCGCAAGCTGGGAGTGTTCGGCGTCAACAGGAATAACAGTATGGCGTTTTCCTCTGCAATATCGGGTCATGTCCATTTGGAATCCTTGTCAGTGTGGTTCGACAAAGAAAGTCAATGTTGTTTGGATGACACATTCCTGCCTTTAAAGAACCTACAGAGCCTCAAACTGTACGGGCTTGTAGACAAATTGCAAGTTTTACAGATCGACCAGCTTAGCAAGCTCACAAAGTTGGATCTAGAGATAACCACATTAAGGGAATGGGACATAAGGTTTCTTGGCGAGCTACCAAAACTATGCATTCTGCGCCTTTGTGTCAATCAGCCTGAAGATGTTCGGCTCCATTTTTGTGTTTTTATAGATGGAGTTGAGCAGCGCTCTTATCAGAAGCTCAAGGTCCTTGAGATTGCTTGCATATCCAGCTTACATGTGACTTTTGGATCAGAAACAATGAAAAACCTTGATCTGCTGAAATTTGACTGCTGCAGTGGGTCGTCACATCAGCTTTCTGGCCTGGTTCATCTATCTGAACTCAAGGAAGTCTGGCTGAAGGGCTCCTACGAGGAAACACTGAAGCATGACGTGCAGGACCAGCTTGCAGACCATCCAGGGAAACCTGTGCTGAAGCTGGAGGAAGAAGCACCACGTCAGTAGACCTAATGGGCTACTCTGAATGTCATTTCTCCCTGTCCACGCATTGTCGCATTACCGTTTGTTATATACAACTCGATCGGATTTTCTCCATCTAAATGCTTGTGTGTACCTGTCCTAGGCAAAAAACAACATGCCAACAGACACTGAAGCATATTTGGTACTTCATCTTCCAAACAGATGCATGTTCTCCTGGCTGATGGACAAGTTTAATTTGTGTACCAGGATTGAACATTTGACCTTGCTGCCGCAACAGTTCTATTTATATCGTCATGCACTTTGGTTTTATGGTGGAGAATCTATCATCAGTGACCTCCTTGTTCTTTCAGATTAATTGTTTGCGATTGTTTTTAATTTTTCTTTGGAAATATGTTGTGTTGACTGTTTTTTTTTTTTTGCTATATCCTCTTTTGATGGCTTCACGTACACTTGAGGTGTTTCTTTTCGCTAAGGCTGTGTTTAGTTTGCGAAATGAAAATTTTTGAATGTCACATCGGATGTTTCGGGGATGTCGGAAGGGGTTTTCAGAAACTAATAAAAAAACTAATTACATAGCTCGCCTAGAAACTGCTTATTAAGCCTAATTAATCAATCATTAGCGCATGTTAGTTACTGTAGCACTTATGGTTAATCATAGACTAATTAGTCTTAAAACATTCGTCTCGCAATTTCCAACCAAACTGTGCAATTAGTTTTTTTTCGTCTATATTTAATACTCCATGCATGTGCCGCAAGATTCGATGTGATAGTTTGAGGTGAAAATTTTTGGGAACTAAACCAGGCCTAAATCTATACGGCGCTCGGGTGATTCTGGGTGTCATGTCACTCGATTTCTCTGCCATCCATCTGGTGGCATGAACGGACGCGATGACAGATGGGCGAAGCACGCGCCTAAGGGGGCAGCTACTAAAATTTAGGAGGTGTGTCGGGAGGATGTTGCATGGGGTGTTCGGATACTAATAAAAAAACAAATTACATAATCCGTTAGTATTCCACGAGACGAATTTTTAAGCCTAATTAACCCGCCATTAGCACATGTTTACTGTAGCAAAGCATTGTCAAATCATGAACTAATTAGGATTAAAAGATTCGTCTCGCAAATTAGTTATAAACTATGCAATTAGTTTCGTAATTAGTTTATATTTAATACTCTATGCATGTGTCAAACATCCGATGGACAACGACTAAAATCAAACACCCCCTAATCCTGCGCACTCTACTCTCCAATCAAACACCCCCTAATCCCGCGCACTCTACTCTCCTATGGCCCCGCCGCATGCACCGAAAAAGGCATCGCATTAATTCCTCTCGTATGGCCCACCGCATGCAGCTGGAAACGGCATCGCATTAACTCGTGCAGTGGACAGCGCGCCTCTTTCTTCCTCGCTCCTCTTTCTTCTCGCATCCTTCTCTTTCTTCCTCGCCTCCGACCCCACTCCGGCGTCCGCACACCGATGTGCCATGCGCCGCGTGCACCTGCGGCCCTGCGTAGTTCTTCCTCCCCATCCCCACTCGTCCAGTGCCAACGCCGCCGCGTCGCAGCCCGGGCCGAGGTGCTGCCTTGTGCAAATTCATTTCTTGATTAGTAGCTACAGATTACACCTCAATGTAGCATATTTTACTATGCCTACATGGGAGTAAGTTCTATGTTTAATTGATGTAAATTAACTCTTTATAAATGAGAGTGGTCATTTGGATTACTTGAATAATTCTCTATGTTTTATTTTTTGCTTTTGATCTTCTTCTAATTTGTCTTTCATAGAAATGATCGGTTGAATCTGTCTTTCTTCTATGTTTTTTTCTTTGATCTTCTTTTAATTTGTCGTTCATAGAAATGATCTGTGAATTCTATCTTTTTTCTTTGTTTTTTTTTTGCTTCGATCTTCTTCTAAGTTGCCTTTCATAGGAATGATCGGTTGAATCTATCTTTCTTCTATGTTTTTTTTGCTTTGATCTTCTTTTAATTTTCCATTCATAGAAATGATCTATGAATTCTGTCTTTTTTCTTTGTTTTTTGCTTCGATCTTCTTCTAATTTGCCTTTTATAGAAATGATCGGTTAGATCTGTCTTTTTTCTTTTGATTTTTTGCTTTGTTCTTCTAATATGCCTTTAATACAACTGATATGTTTAATCTGTTTTTTTTTATCTTTTTCATTTCGTTCTTTGGATTTTGTTGTGGTTATGAGAATCGGGTGACAGATCACCTTGAATCACTCGATTTCTTTTGTATGGTAAATTTGAGTGATTTTATCTGTTCTGCCACTCGGGTGACAGGAGGGTGTAAATCACCTGAGTTTTCAGGAGACAGGCCCTTTCTTTTTCATCTACTCTAATATGAATGCACTAATCAGGGCCCTCAAATCCATTCCAGTATACACTGGCATATGGGACCTGCTCATCATTCGGCCACATCCACTATCGTTTCAAATCAAGTGAGCTATGGTGGCGCGAGAGAGGAGCACGGGAGATAGGGATGACACGGAGAGGTCCGATCGATGGCACAAGGAGGAGAGCCACGGTGTGTGTGTGTGTGTGTCGAGTGTCTCACCGAGAGGAGCGGAGCCATATTAAATGGGCCTCGCGGGAACGGGCGCCAAGGAGGGAGCCGCACCAGGCCAAGGGGCTATTGCGCGTACGGTCGCGCTCCTGTCGGAGCGCGCGACTCCCGGCCTGCGTCCGCGTCCGCGCGTACGGTGGCATATAGGCCCGAGTTAGCAGCCTATATGGAACATGAAGTGGGCCGGACCGAAAATTTTGAAGCAGGTTTAAAATACGCATCAGTTTGAATCGGGCCACTGATGCTAATCATGAAAGAAAATCGAGATGAGCATGCCTACCAATCTTCTTGTACCTGCGCGCGCACGTCACGATTTGATGTCAAGGTGCGTACACATTGACCTTTCGCGTACACATACACATTATGGTCGTATGATGTCTACATCACCTCAATGTTGCAATGCTCTGTGTCTGTTTGCCTGCTGATACGTACAGCAAGGAGCAGTTTTTGTTTCATTTCTGATTTTTTTCATTGTTTCATTTAGTCTCAGTTTCACGAGGTTTTTTAAATGTTTTTTTATTTTCAGTTTTCAGAAAATTTTTAGTTTCATATTTCAGTCATGTGTTTTTTTTAGTTTCATATTTCAGTTATCCTTTTAGGTTCGAATGTCTTTCTAAATCATGCATATTAGTTGCCTCACTTGTAATATATAAGTTGTTACAAAAGAGTAGCCATCGCATACATAAGTTGACATAAAAGAATTTGCCCCTAGTTTCAGTTTTCAGTTAAGTTTTTTTCATTTTTAATTCAGATTTTCGGTCATGTTTTTTTATTTTTTTTAGTTTTAGTTTTCAGTCTGTTTTTTCAGTTTTTTTAGTTTCATTTTTCATTCAACTTTTTTTTTACTTTTTGTTAGTTTCAGATTTCAATCACTCTTCTAGGTTCGACTTCCTAAATACTGTATATTAGTTGCTTCATCTATAATGTATAAGTTATTACAAAAGTATAGACATTGCACACATAAGTTGCCACAAAAGATTTTGCCCCGTTTCAGTTTTCAGTTAAGTTTTTTTTTCATTTTTTTAGTTTCACTTTTCAGCTATGTTTTTTTAGTTTCAATTCTGAGTCATCCTTTTAGGTTCGAATGTATTTCTAAATCCTGCATATTAGTTGTATAATAATTTACCCTCTAAGTTGGCACCTTATGACATGCTTCATCTAATAATTAGTCCCTCAGGGTGCAACTTATCTTATTTTGGATTGCTACTTTTGTCTTTTTAATAAATGTTTCTCTAATTTTTAGCTAGTCATGTTTTTCGGCTTATATAGTGGGTTTCATAATAACTTATCCCTCTGGTTGACAGCTTATGCAATGCTTGTTCTAACAATTTGCTTCTAGGTTGTAGCTTGTCTTGTTTTATATCGCTACCCTCATTTTTTAATGAATGCCCTCAGTTGACAGCAAGTCATGTATCCTGACTTTTTTAATGTGTTTTATAATAACTTGCCCCCTAATTGACAGTTTATGCAATGTTTATTTTAGTAATTTGCCCTCTAGTTTGCAGCTTGTCTTGATTTGGTCTATTACTCTCTTTAGGGATTAATAACTTTATGTAAATACTATAACAAATTTATTATATTTTCATGGTAACAATCGATGTGCATACCAAATTAAAAACTTTAGTTTATTTTTGAGTAGCAAGTTTAGTATTACATGGTACCAACTTTTTTTTATAAATCTCCTATCATATTTTTACACATAAATTATTACTAAAATAAAATTCTTCGAAACGTAGGCAGGTGAGGTTTAGTTTTATTCGTCTCGTCACGTAGAACATATCGATTTAGACGAAATTGAAAATGGATAAATGATTTAAAAGTTAAAGCAATTCCAAAAAAAAAGTTTTGGTTTTACGCTTACGTCAGTTGCATGCATTTGATGTCGCACATGCAGCAGGACTGCAGCGGGGGTCGAATCATTGTACGGGAGCAGGTGGACGGCAGTTAGAGCATCCAAGAGTTTTCAAAATCCCCTTCTAATTCTAAGTTTTTAGAAAGATCCACGAAAAAACCTATCTCCAACAACTCCTAATACAATCTCCTAATATTTTAGGAGTTAGTAAAAATCCCCCTCATCCATGTAACTTTACGCGCCGCAGCCTCGCGCGTATCCTTCGACTCCCGCGGCCTCGTGTGCCCGAGTCGGCGTCTCCCCTGTATCGTGGACATGCCATCGACATCCTCGCTTTTCGCGTGCGTCGCGCGCGTCTTCCGGCACCTCGGCGCGCACTTCCGAACGCAGCGACGACAACCTGCGCGACTGGGTGAGCGGGCTGCGGCGGCCGATGGCTGGTGCCGGCGGTACTCGGTGGTGCCGGCCGGGATGACGCTTGACGGCCAGCCGCTGTTGAAAGAAGCGCGGGATGCCGTACCCAAGCTCCCGGTGACGCTGGACTGCACCACACCAGCCGCGGTGCTGCCGAACAGACAGCCGGCGTTGATGGA